GCTTCTGGCTCTACATCATCTCGTGCCGGTCTTGTGGAACCTTGATGAACCAATGCATCCATTTCCTCCTTCTTCGCGCGCTTGAAGAATCCAAGCTGTAAATTACAAATATTTAAAATAAATTTAGTACAAGAAAGCAAACGGTAGTAAAAAAATGTAGGGAAAATATTGGATACATTTATGCCAAAAATGGTCTCGTTAGGTGGCGCCAGGGTCGAGAAATTTTTAAAAACCGTATTTATGCTCTGATTTGTTTCACATTTGGCATGTTTAGTTGAAACGTAGTAGAACATAGATTTGCAAAAAATGGAACGGCTGGTGGCGCTGATGTCAAAATAAAAAGTCCGTTCGACATATACATAATGCATGTTTTCTTCCCGCTACAAAATTCTTTCAAGAACAATATTAAAGAAACGTTTTCAATGGAAATTTTAGTAACGTAACGCCAGGTAACGTCACGTCAGATAATTCAGCTGATTAAATATAAAGCGGCAAAGATTTCTACATTTAAAAACTTGAAAAATTAACCGTAAATATTTCCAATATTACCTACTACAAAATCGTTTATACAAATAGTTTTAGCCAATTCGCAGAGCTTTGAAATTTGGTAATCGAAGTCAAAATCCACTTCTGGTTTTTGTAACGTCACGCCAGCGCGTAAGGTTAATAATAATATTTTTAAATCGCTACTACCAACATTTGTAATTTTTTATACTGAATATGGGGCCATTTAATTGCTATGCATATCTAGAAACACCTTTTTAAAATTTTGACTTAGTCAATTCTTGTTTTTTTAACATTTTGTCAGACGAGCATTACGTAACGCCAGTTTGGAAATACCCATATATAAGGAGGTCAGATGGTTCATGAATCGAGTCGGCTAGGGAATCGCTGGATACCCTTATGAATACCCATTTTCCAGGGTGCAGGATCGACGGAATGAAAGCTATTTTCCAAGCCACTCCGATGACCTAATGGAGGAGTTACTGGAGAGAGAAAATATAAAATTTGTTAGTTTCCGCTTCTCACTCTTTAAATCACCGGGTATGGACGGTGAGATATCGTCATTCCAGTTATTTTTAGAGCATGTCCTTTACTAAAGAACGTCACGTTAAGCCGGTGAAAGAAGTTTTCTTCCTAAAACACGTTGATCATGCCAGTGCTAGAGATTTCTGGCCAATAAGCCTAATGTTCTTTGTACTCGAGAAATTTTTAGAGGCTCTTAGATCTGTGCATTAGAGACAAAACGTCCAATTTATCATGCTCTCAATATGCGTACCTGAAAGGGAAGCCAACGAAGACTGACCTGCATTAGGTGGTTTGTAAGATTGAGACTTCGCTCTACTACAAACAATAAGCATATAAAATACACACAAACTCAGTGCGGTCGGTACATGCCGGAAAGATTGGCTTACCCTCTATTAGGTTCAGTCGCAGCTGCGAGGACCCGAGCTGCAAAGAGTCACGCCTCTCTCTTTATGGCGTACTAAAATTCATTAAAGCCGCCAAATAGCTGCTGGTTTCTTGCTCAAAAGAAGGTTAAATTGTTCCACAGAAGCAGATAATTTTATTGGGGATCACCGAACACGAAGAACTCGTTTGGGTTTGGGCAAGTGCGAAAGAAAACTTTGTACAAGGTAATGTTTTCACATTTGGGATAAATACGTACATTGCAAATATAACTATAAGCATTAGGAAGGATTGATTTACATAGGACGCAATATTCTTACTTACTAGAGCATAGGTTGAGATACATATATAAGTATTTGAAGTAACTTTCCCGACCAATGCATGGCTTCAAGCGTTTCTTTAGTCCCCTTTGTTTTAATTTGTGTTTCTTCTAAAGTGTTATGTGTAAGGAACCTAACTAGTGTCAGAATAAGCGACATACACGAATCAAAAAGTGGGTCAAAATGGTTCGACATTAAAATCAAATATCTTTCTCCAGGAAAAGGGCAACAAAATGGCGCTACCATATTTCTTGAGTACCACAACCAGCCTTGATGCATTGCTCTAAATTTTCTATTAGATCCCTAGACCTTCGAGCGCTATAGGCATAAAATAACGTCGAAATGCTTCTATAAAGATGATTACTATCATCCCACACTACAACTTAAGTACAACTTCTATAAAGATGATTACAATCATCCCACGCTCATAATCATAACTTAAATAAACTCACCTTATACATCCCGTAAGTCATTAGCGCCAATAGCAAGAGCCCACCCATCACGGCCAATATATACACCCATATCGGCGTACCATAGAGTTGATGTTTCGAAACAATATTATAGTCGATGCTCCTGCGTATCGCCAGCGATTTGCCATTAGAGTCACCAATTTTTTTCACATCCACTCCGATTAGTATAACAAAATATTCCCATGGTTCAATCAATATTTGATTGATCTCATTCAGATCGACTTGATATTTCATTGTCACCGTGATGGGCTTCTCGGGTTTGAAATTATAAACACGCATAACAGAGCGCACACAAATCGTCATCTCGGGATCATTGCAATTGAAAACGATCGTACGATTCACTGGCAATTTACCTCTTAGATCTTCACTTAGCAGTTCGTGCGCCTTGACGATACGCGCATACTGTGCTCTGGTCGCCGTATTGGCAGCAGCGTCACGACGTCTACGACGCCGAACTGATAAAGTCGTTGTGTCATCGGTATGGGTTGCTGAAAGATTGTGGCAAAATGGAAACGGAGTAAGGAAAGAGTTCAGCAGTTATTTGGCGATCTTTAAACTTACAACTTTCGCTTTCTACTGTCATTTCATAGAAGCTGTGGGAATCATATTGTGCGTTAATGTGTTTATGCTTATTCGTCTTGGAAACTGTAGTTGTGCTGTGCGTACTCGTCGATACCTCAATGGTATTCATGATGAGCTGTGTATTGTTTTGATAGTAATCGATGCCAATCAACTGCGCATCATACACAGCCTGCATATTTATTTTATCCATTTCGATAATTTGTATGGTGTTCGTAGTGCCGGGCACCTTATACGCCACAGGTATATAGAAGATCACATCCATTGCTCCGACAGTGCTGGGACCGACGCTTTTTATCTGTTTAAAAGGGATATGTAAATTTGACATTTGTACAAATCAAATTAGATATCCGCAAACTCACCTCGTAGTTATTAATGATTTCGGTAGTATTGCTGATCTTCTCCAAGTTGACATGCGGTGTTTTTGGAATGCTAAAAATATAAAACGCATGTGTAAGTTAAAATCAGCAACACTTTTACGTTGGCTGCGATCAGCACATACATTTTATGTGAAGTTTTTTCAAGCCAAAAGAGGTTCAAATATATTTTTCGTTGTATATAAGACGGTTGTCCCATCTACTTAGTTTTATTCTAAACTTTTAAATATTGAATGCGTAACCTTAAAACTTATTAAGAACTGGGAGCGATGTGGCACCTTACGCTGTCTGGGCTATCTTGGATTATATAGTCATTATAAATACATATTTTCGGCAGCGCTAATGCAAAATTTCTCAACGGTTACCTCGCTCACCATTTTCGCTTGCGCACCAACTACCGAAGTATCGACGTTCTAAGCATGGACTACAAGGCCTTATCGAAAGTATTGCTTGAAAGGCTGCAGCCCACCGTCAACCAACCTATTGGGTCCTACAAGTGTAGCTTCAGACTTGGTCAATCAATTATAGACCACGTATTCACCATAAACTAAATCTTGGAAAAGACCCGCGAGAAGTTGCTGTTTACATTTAAAAGCTCCATCAACCACCACAGGGAGTCTCGATCGTCTCTTATGCTAACGACTGCTTGATAATGGCGTCTGGGAATGGAATCGATGACTTGTGTTCGAAAATAAACGGTTACCTCACCGAGCTTTCTCTACACTATGAAATCCTCGGCAACCTCTTTACCACCTGAACGAAGTCGATGACGAACCAATTCCGAAGGTGAAAACCCAAAATCCTCGCAGTTAACTTCGACAGTCTGCTCTCCTTCTCGGCGCATAGATCCGCAATTTCCAATCGGGTGCAGAGCCGCAACAAGGTCCTCAAATCGTTAGCCGGCAGCACCTGGGGCAAAGACAAAGAAATGTTGTTGGCAACATATAGGGCAATGGGCTGGCCGGTCCTAAACTATTCAGCGCCCGCTTGGTCGCCGGGGACTAGCAGGACGCAGTGGACGAAGCTGCAGACATGTCAGAACACGGCACTCTGGACCGCGTCAGGATGCCTCCTGATGTCGTTTCAGCACCACCATCACGACGAGGCACAGATGATCCCCGTCAGGGAGCATTACATAATGCCCTGCAAGTAGTTCCTGGTAGGGTGCTACAGACATGGGCACCCGAATAGATAACTGCTTGCAGAAGAGTCCTCGCCAAGGCACGTCAGCAGGCGTCTCAACGAACTGACGGAGGTTCATTAAATAACCTCTGGACCCAACTGCATCCCTTAAACGGCATTCACATGGAGTCGGTCTTGAGTTATATAGACTCCCGACCTGTGAAGGTCATTTTAGGCACACAACCACCCAACGTAGACGAGACAGAGCTTTGTCTGCCTTGAGAGACTCGCACCACAATAGCCCAACTCCGCTAT